AAACCCTAAACCCTAAACTCTTCATGCAGCTCCTGTTTCACGACTGCCCTTAGGCAGCTTCCAGTGAGGTTAGACCTCAGCAGCAGGGCAACTTAAGTCTCCGAGCCAGAAATTCTTAACTTGCTTCTTCGGCTTTAAAGCCTAAACCTCCAAAACCCTAAACCCCTAAACCTTTATCAACCTCTAAACCCCTAAACCTCTAAAGCCCTAAACCCTAAACCTCTGAACCCCTAAACCCTAAACCTCTGAACCTAAACCCTAAACCTCTAAAACCCATAATTTCAGAAACTTCTAAAACCCCAAACGTCTGAAGCCCTAAACCCTAAACCTCCAAAGTCCATAGTTTCATAAACTTCTAAAACCCTAAACCTATGAAGCCCTAAACCTGTCTGAACCCCAAGGTTTCGGCTTCAGGGCCATATGCCCGAGCAGAAGCCAAGAACGTTGGGGTATGAGGGTTTAGGGCTTAGGGCCTGGCGTTTAGGGTTCAGGGTTTATGGCTTTAGGGTCCAGGGCTAGGGTTTAGGGTTTAGGGTTTAGCGTTTAGAGTTCAGGGGTTGGGGGACCCTTCGAGCCGAAAATCCCCAAAACCCAGCACCAAAAAAGCCCCTAAGCCTGCACTCCAAGACGTCATGTTCCGCTCCCACCAGAGGAATCGGACGGGTTCGGGATTAGGGTTTAGGTTTAGGGTTTAGGGTCTACCACTTCTCGGCTTCAGGTTCGTCGAAGGAGTAGGGCCCCCCCCCCAAAAAAAAAAAGGTGTCTTGATCCTACACTCTTTTGGAAACCGTGCCTCCAACTCGCACAAGGCAGCTTTGGGCTGCGGGTGCTTAGGCAAGAGAGCACTCTACGGAGAATCTCGGGAAAAAGCATGGGGGTTAAGATTAGGGGGACCTTTGAAGTTATAGACCCTCTCAATAACGTCCCTTTCAACAGAGCCAGAAGTAGGGTTAAGAAGGGTCCCCTTTAACGGGTCTCCCTATCACTACCTAGGAAAGCAGGCATTAGGCGAACACTGATCCTAGACTCGAAACCTCGAAAGCCCACGCCCGAAGCCCTTGCAGGACAGCCAAAGCACCCCTGAATAGAGCCGCTACGGCCCTTAATAGTGGGTATCTAGGCTAGAGTAGAGGACAGTGTGGGGGTTTAAGCAAACCTAGAACGGTAGCTAGGCCCGCGATTCTGAGTGCAGTGCCTGCCCGTACTGCCGCTTCAGCAAGTCTACGAATGTACTGCTCCCAGCGACGCTTTTGGCGATCTGGGTGCAGATCGGCAGAACAAGACTTCAGGTGGCTGTGGTGATTTTCTGCCGCATAGGACCTGTTTGAATACTTTGTCCCATCAAACGAAAGGTTGTTTTGCTTTCATCGTGGAGTGCTTTTCAAGTTGTATTGACAGTTGTAGACATGTTTCATCGCGGGCTGCTTATCAGTTCAAGTTGTATCGACATCCATTCGTACAGCCCGGGTGTTAACTCATTGGGGAGAAGTCACGGCTTAAGGCTGGGGGAAAGCACTCTACCGCGAACGCCTCGAAAAACAAACCCATGGGAAAGCCAGAAGCAACAAACGCATTCAAAGCCCTCCAAGACCATGCAGCAGGAAGATCCTAATGTAGGGGCCTTAATAATTAGAATACGGTTTTGGGGTGCTCCTTATTATACTTCTAGTATAACATACCCCCAAACCCTATTCTAATTATTAAGACCCCTATATTTTAGGGCCTGTTTAGGGGGGTTTAGGTGTCCTCAGCTCCGAAAAAACGGGTCACTACGAGGAGAACCCCAAGCCTTACACCAAAAACACATCTTGGCCCTGAGCTGATGCTCTTACTTCCCCAAGAAGCCAGAGAAATAAAAGGTTAAACTTTCAGATTACTACTAAACCATGAGAGCCCAAAAAGTTTAAAGGTTGGCTATTGGAGAACTAAGTGCTTCTTAAACTTGAAGCTCGGGCTTTAGACTTTCAGGTGGAGTTGTCACGTTTCGGCCCAAAGGGGAGGTTTTGGTTTTGGGGTCCAGGGCTTGGGGCATCGGCCTTACAAGTACGATGTCGGGTAGTCTGTGTCGATAAAGAACTTCATCTCCAGGCTATGGTCTCGAGGTATCGAAGAATTAACCCTAAACCCTGAGCCCTAATTGCACAGGTACGACACTGGCAAGATCTGTAGTAGCCACGCAGAGAAGACCATTTCCCCAACTCACCATTACGGCACACTCTTCGTCAATATGTGGGCCCAATAAAACTCGAACTTCCTAAGATAGACGAAATAGATGAACAAACCAATAAGATAAACAAACAAATACATATACATATATAACATCAAGAATTTGGAGTTCAATCCCATAGACTCCTTCTTGACTTCTTGAGACAGGTTAGGGTGTTTTTGCTCCCGAGGTCGCCACAGTACTCACAGAGTGGTCGTTCCTCAGACCAATCATGGCGTCCAAGGGGGGTTTAGGGTTTAGGGGTATAGCCCTAACCGTTTAGGATTTGGTGGTTTAGAAGTGAATTCCGGTTTTAGGGCTTAGGTGCTTGGGGTTGCGATTCAAGCCCTCCAGGCTCACGTGTGAAATGGGGGGCGTAATGAGGACCAGACGCGAGTTTGAAAGGTATCTCAGAGTCCACCGAGTTTAACATTGAATCCTACATGCGGATCTTCAGATCGCTACCCGCAAGTGACTGCAGCATCACAGACTGTCAACCCCAAGCTAAGAAACATACGCTCCGTTCAACGTGCCAGAAGCGAACGTCTTCGCCCCAGAACACCGGGACTCCGGCCCTAAACCCTAAACCCTAACGCTTGGGCCGGGTTTCTCCCAAATCTCTCGTCAGTATATCCCCAAGCCTTCAACTCTCATCTCCAAGCCCTCGCCAAGTCAACCCTCAACTTAAATCCCCAAACCCCTAACCCTAAACCCTAAACCCTACAACCCTAAACCCTAAATCCCTAAACCCTAAATCCCCCAACCCCCATCCCTCGGCCCTAAACCCTAAACCCTCATCGCCTCGGCCCTAAATCCCAAACCCTCAAACCCCTAAACCCTAAACCCCCAAACCCCAACCCTAAANNTAAACCCTAACCCCTAAACCCCTGACACCCTAATCCCAAAAACTTTATGCAAAGGCGAGGCACATGGACACCGAGGGGTTGTACATGACTTTGAAGTCAGGATTCTCCGCGAGCTTTGCCCGAACCTCCCCGGCAGCTCTGCGTGTTGGGGTGCTCAAGGCCTGAGGGGTTTAGGGTTTTAGGG